CTTTCTGCCTCAGTCTCTCCAGAGCTGGCACTGCAGACACGAATTGCCCAGCCCAGTGCTGAGTCTTTGCAAATGAGCAAGGCCTCAGTGAACCAGCTGGTCTCACTTCCAAAGATTAACTCAGAACACACGGAGGAGCCTGCAAACAGGAGGTTGTGAACATTTGGGTCCACACATCAGTCCACAGGGACCTGTTTCACAGAGCAGACCTTAAAGGTGGGCTGTAGAGTAGTGACTGCCGGAACTTGGAGAGGTGAGGGTGGGTGGAGGAGAAACTCCGGTGTCTCGGCTTAGGAGGGGAACTGTGGTTGGCCACAGTTAGTTGGATTTTTCTGAATTGCGAGCAGAGAAGATTTTGAGTCTTTTCGCAACCTGAGGGAGTGATGCAGAGTAGTGAGGTGAAATACCAGTTACCTTGATGCACCAGTTTGCCCTAGATGTGCCTTAAGATGCCACACTGTGCTCCGTGAATGTGTGCAGTTATGGCGCGGGGTGAACAGGTCGAGGATACGAGGTCCTTATTTGTAGCTGCTTTCAGGGAAACTGCTAGGAACGTCTCCCAGTGGAGATAGAAGGGAAACTGGCCGCAGCCACAGGACCTCCACATTCCTGATGGCTTCTCCCTCGCTCCCAGTCCTGTCCTCCATGAACTCACAGGACATGTCAGGTAGTGGATACCCCTGCCTAGGGGAGACAGCTGGAGGGGCACGCTTAGGGAATACTCTTCCTTCTATCCCAGGTCTCCACCCGTAGGCTTCCTCACTGTCATGGGAACTCCTCAGGGTTTTGAATCCTGACCTTCATCAGCATTTTCCCTAGTGTCTCCATTCCAGCTCATAGGATGCCACTCTCTCCTAGTCGGTGACCTCCTGCAGCAGCCACAGTCTTCAAGGTTGAGAGCTTGCCTTGTGAGCAGTCCAGCAAATCACAAGACTGGTCTTGCCTTGATTCTTGAGGCTGCAGGTCACACTGTCCCCAGGGCTCGCCTTACAGCACTCACAGGCTGGTTCTGATAGGCTGGGCTTTCTTTGATCCTTTGCTCCTCCTTTCTTTTGTTCAGGCTTTAACCACAGCAGTGGCGGTAAACTGACAGTCATTTATCCCCTTCTCTCTTAGAAAGTAGCTTAAGGGAGTAACTAATTGATACCTGAGTCCAGACCGCTAACCTCTGAGAAGCTGGCTGTGCGGCGCTGTGTGCCTATAACCGTAGTGCTGGGTGAGGTGGGGTGGTCATGAGACGAGAGGATCCTTGTGCTCAGTCCGTTTAGGCCAGTTGAGCTCCAGCTTCAGTGGGAGACCCTGTCTCAGAGATGAGGAGGAGGCCAGCCAGATAGCTCAGCAGGCAAAAGCACTTTCTGCTAAGTAGGCCCAGTTCTTGTCTGTTGTTCTCTGACCTGTCTGCTGTTGTACAAGGACACTTGTATGCACATAGTCCTTCTGTCGACTATGAATATATATTCCTCTTAGTGATTATAATAAAACTGAATTTACCTAGAGCCAGGCAGAATAAGGCTAGGCGGGAAAGCTAAATAGAGGTCAGGGAAAGCAAAGGGCGGAGTCAAGGGATGGGAGCCAGCTGCCAGAGGAACACCATGTGCTAAGAACGGGAAAGCCACAAAGCTCCAATGAGTGTCCTAAACTCCGGCTTTGGAGTTTAGTATTTGGTTTGAATCCTGCAAATGCACGAAGTCTCTGTGAGGAGGGCAGGTGGGCAGAGTCTATGGACTTGGCAGGCGCAGGGCTCTCTAGGTGGTGTCACGGATTCCTGTTTTGGGCACAGTGTTCTTGAGAGTAGCCGGTGGACCGTCTGTGTGAGTGTATAGTGGTCTTCAGGATGTGGAGGGCTCTGGATCGTCATGGTTGTGTAGAGACTGGTGGCCTAGGTCTAGGGTCCAGCCACACTGGGCACATTTTCTCCACTGTCCATGGTTGTGCTGATATAGTTGGAGTGGATCTCCTCCCAGCAGTAAACAGAAGCCTCATCCTGTGGTGCCTGCAGTGAGCATCAGAGCGGTTGGTTCTCTCTTGGACATGGGCTGTGGGCTGGAGGGGAGGAAGAGCTGGCTCCCCCGTGTTACTGTGCACTCAGCTGCTTAAACTGACTGCTGTGTGGGCGACCAGGGAACCCCGTGCAGCAGTCGGGTCCCTTCTCTGTGTGGGCGACCAGGGACCCCG